GCCTGCCACAACGCCCGGCTATTTTTTGGTTGCAGCCGTCATTGTTGCTTGGCGGGTCCGGGCTGGGGATTCGAACCCGCCACCTTAAGTGTACGTGGCTGGCGCCTTAGCCGGTTGAACTATAGGCGCCGACCCACCTTCCTGCTACTTGTAGTGGGCTGCTGTCATCACTTCATTTGCCTCAGGTTACCTGGTGGCAGGAAGTCCCCAGATGATTCTGCCTCCAAGTGGGGTTCCTGTTGCTGTATTTGTTGCTCTCATCACCATGAATCACACATGGCCCTCTGTCCCAAGCTCCTAGTCTGGTAGTGAACCCACCAGAGTGCAGGCTTGCCCCAAACTCCAGTGACTGTGGGGGCCAGGAAGAAACTAAAATGGGACGAAGGTGCCACCTGTGAGAAAGCAGTGTGATCAGGGAGACAGGACCAAGGGGTTCTTACTCCCTCTAGGGGGGCATCCCTGCTGCACTGGAGGAGCAGCTCTCTGACCCTAGATCTTTGTTTTTTTCAAAAGAATTTGAGCATCTGGATTTGAATGTGAATTCTCTAGATTAGAAGTCTGTGCTCTGAGGACAGGAAAGCAAAGCGGTGGGATACTGATATAGTGGGGAAGGGCTCCCTAGGAAGAGACCCTTGACCCAGGCAGGGAGCAGCTTGGTAAGTCTGGAGAAGTAAGGGTGGTGGAGGTGGGAGGGCCTGACGACTGGTCTTGGCCTGAGGAAGGCAATAGGGGGTCGGGGGGTGGGTGGGTAAGGAGAGCCTGGCTCTGTCAGTTCACAGGGTGGGGTCGATGGATGGCCTGTTTGCTCCATGAGGCTCACAGCCCACTGGCATGCTCGCTCAGCCCTTGCCAACCCAGGGGTCCAAGAGGAGGGCTCCAAGGTGTGAACAGGGGTGGCCTCTTTAGAGCCTGCTCTGGCCCAGGGTAGCGCCTCCCCACTAACTGAGTATCCTCTAATTGAGAGCTAATTAGCCACAATTTGTACCCTGGCCGGCGGCGCCCTGAGGCCACGCCTGCCTTTCAGGGGGTGGCAGGAATCCGGCTGGGAGCCCGGCAGATACTCAAGCAGCGACAGTCACCAACCGTGGCGCGTGGACACGCGCACCAGGGATGCCGCACAGCGTGCGCTGCGCTCCTCACCAGCTGCCCAGGACGCACGCAGGGCCCCGCATCCTGTCCCCCGGCCCGGGTGAG